GGCCAAGGAGGCTCGGGGGTTCGCGGAGTTCGGCTTTAGGGTTTAGGGTTTAGGGTTTAGGGCTTAGGGCTTTGGGTTTAGGGCTTAGGGGCTTGGGGTTTCAGGCTCGCGGGAGAGGTATGAGCTGGGTCCTTGGGTATGGACTGGTGGCCATTTCGGTGAAGTCTGCCTGGGATGAGGGCAAGGTAACGGTTTTCCGTCCGGCTTGTGTCGGGGTAGGGGTTCGGGGCAGGTCTTGAAGTTGGCTTAACCAGGACGGCTCAGGGCTTTTTTGGTTTCAAGGGGCTTTCAGGTTTGGGGGTTCGAGGTCTCGGGGCATGGGCTCAGATTTGCTCTGGGAACTCTCAGCCGTCTACTCGAGGGGTATTGGCATCCCTCATGGAAACTTTTCGTAATAGTTAATCATGGTGAATCCGCTCTACTACATGTCCGGGACTTGCCTGTCCATGAATGAGATCCACCTCCAAAATGAGCCTTGAGCCGGCTTTGGGGTGTGCGGTTCACCGGTTCGCGTTAGGGATCTAGGTTCTTCAAGAAACATGTCTGCGTTTGCAATGAGCTGCTTAGGAGGTTGAAGTGACATATCTTCAAGACTTGAGCAGCCTTAGATAGTAGTACAATAGTATAATATCCTATATTCTGGTATATCAGAGTCTCTTGTTGAGGTGGGCCGCATGAAGTTCACGCGGCCGCTGTACCGGGAGCTGTGCCCTCGCAGCACAGGAGAGCAGGAGCCCTCAGTTGACACTCTTCGGTGCAGGGTTTAGGGTTTAGGGGTTGAGCAGGGGTTAGGGTTAAGGGTTTAGGGTTCAGGGTCCCCCGAACCTTCACGTCCAGCCCGACAGGCAGACTGATGTTTTGTAAACCGTCCAGAAGATCCCCTTCTCCCAATCTCCCTGAATGCTGCCCCTGATTATAATGTGGGATTCTCCTTCCAACTTGTTTCTCGTTTCGTTGGGTCCTCACTAGAAACTGCTTTCTACAAGTAGCGCACCTTCTCGTGATTGCACAGGTCTTCTCTGTTGTTCCTGCAGTGTCCAGTGTGGGGTGGCATGGGCCCCGGGACTTCAGGATCTTTCTGTTGTGGGGGGGGGGGGGGGGGG